AGTTAAACCTGATACTATGTTCAACCAGGTTTTTCTCAAACTGGCTTATGTGCACTGAATATACATTCTGCTACAAGTTTAAACCAGTTTCTGTTCACGTAAACTTGTTTATGTGTAATGTCCGTCCCTAGTCCTATTGTTCAGTGTGATATAATTTACTAAAGTACAGTTCCATCTTCTCCTGGCTTACTGCTCTACTTTTTTTTTCCCCCTCCCTGATTTGTTTGTTTGCTTCTTTGGAATGTCAAGTAAGTTGAATCTTCTCTCTCTCTCTCTTTTTCTGTGTAGCTGCTTTCAGCTTTTGTTCATAATTCTTTGTTTCCCATATGAAACAGCCTCAGAACATTGTAGCAATCCAATAACAGGGTTGTAGGATTTCTGTAGCACCCTCCATCTACCATCTCCCTCTCCATAAGGCCATTTGATATCAAGCTCACGTGACAGCTGGGTAAACAGAGACACAGAAGGTTTGAATGGGCTAAGGTTAGTGTAAAATTCTGTCAAATCGGAATGGCATTTGTATCCTTTCTGCCCTGAGGTCAATAACTGCATAGGTTATAGGACAACAATTAGGCCCTATTAGGGATACTGGCTCTAAGTCTCTTCTGTAAACATTAGAAAAGTTGCGCACATCTTACGGATGTACCTGGGTTAGCTGCAAAGTAAGTAGCTCAGGAAATAGTAGCCATCTAGCTATAACAGCACGGGGCTTGGCTAAGGTTGCAAAATCAGCCCAAGAAGCTGGGTGCATACTTCTTGGATGGTGTTCACAGTCCAACCTGAGCTCCGCCCTTCTACAACTAGATTGCCACAGGTATCCAAGATACCTCCTATATCTATATTTCAGTGCAGCCATAGTAGACAGAGCACTTGAGATGTGCCCTTGAGAGTTGCATACAATGAAGATGCCTTATTTTCTTCTATTTTTATTATTTATATTGTGGTAACACCTAAAAATCCTAGTCGTTGTGTTAGGCATTGTACAAACACAGAAGAAGCCTCTCCCAATATTATGCATCTTCCTTAAGCCCTAGTAAAATAGTTCCGTGGGAGTCTGTTGCCTTTCTGAATTCACCTTCTAATGCAGTGGTGCTCAACTTTATTAGACGTCAGGCACCCCTCAGAAACTCTCTCCCTCATTTTTTAACTACAGAAAAATAAGAGGGCAATTCTTTTGTTGCAGAGAACTTAGAAAGATCACAAGAAATCAAAATGTACGTAAACATTATGAATTCCCATTTGAAATTTCTGGGTTTATCTTGTGAAACGTGTTTGCGCACCTAACATAGTACTTGTGTTGCATAGTACCCTGCAGCACTGCTGAAAGGATCTCAAGGCACACGTGGGTGCTGTGGCACACTCGTTGAGAGTTGTTGCTGTAGTGTGTCAGCTACACTGACTCCATTTCAGGGAACAGGCAGATGTGTTGCATTAGCTTGTTTCTTCCAGAGGTGATCAGATGCCTGTGTATCTACTCTATTTTTTTAATCTATAGTTGTTTTGGATGAGCTGTCTCTTTTCTGTATGGTCCTATGCTTTAAAAGGAAGCTGTCATCAAGGGACAAGTGGCTTGAGAGAATGTTATAGGCATTAGACAAAGCAATATTGCATGGATATGACAGCTAAGGATGGAAATCTAAAATATTACTTCTGGATACACACTTCCATCTTCAGCTGTGGGAGTGTGTTTGTGTGGGGGGTGGGGATTAAATTGGTTGTCTGTTTGTTTTTGATATATCTAGCAACCTTTAATCTGGATGCAAGGACTCATTTTAAATATTTTAATTTTCCTCTTCTTTCCTCCTTCCAGCATGCAAATAGAGACCCCAAAGAAGGGAGAGATGCCAGAGATCAAAAAGAATCAAAGGAAGAAGGCAACAAAAGTGTCTTGGAGTTTGGGAAGCCAGCGCCGTTGCCCCCTCTCCCAGGCCTTCATCAGTTGCTACCTCAGAACCAGAGCTATATGGCCACCACAAAATCACAGACGGGTAAAATGAGGAGAGCTAAAAAAAAATACCACTTTTATTATATGTGAGAAGAGACAACTGAGGGCTGAGTCTTGCTATCTATTTTTTCTCTGTATATTTGCTCTTATAACTAGCATCAGCAGCCATAGTAATGAAAATCAGACTCTCATGGATGCCAATTATTTAAATAATTTTACTTTGATTCTCTCTGAGTTGAATTGTTAAGACACCTGCAGCCTGTTGACATGACTGCTCCTGCCTTCAGTAGTAGTGGAGTGGAGTTGCAGTGGTGGGAAATTTTTAGGGGAGAGAGAGCCAATCTTATCTTCAGTGTTGTAGCTGAGCCTTCATTTACATTACAGGTGCTAATTTTGTAATCAGGATTGTGATCAGGCTATATTAGAATATTGTTCATTTGCTCTGGGCTCTGTAGGGAGAAAAATGTATTTGTTGTTAAAGAACCATGTTTTTCCCTAGCTAGATAACTACGGTGAGATTCACTGGCCCCCTTAACACAAAGGAAAGAGAATAAATGAGGCCCTAAAAGCCCTGTATCTGGCCAGGGGAAAATTCCTAAATCCAGGCAAGAAAGCTGCCTTCTGAGGAGCTGGAAACCCCAGTGACCCAGCTGGGAGAGTGTGTAGAAGTGGGGACTCGGTCTCCTGCACTGTTGAGGTTCTGGACAGTGTGATTGTTCATAGTGTGAAGCTTCAGGAGGCTGCTGAAACATAGACAAACCCTCTTGATGGAGCGAGTCACACTGGAGATCTTAGTACCTGCATCAGGCCAGGACTGGGATTAGAACTGCCTTAGTTTACCTTCTGGGTTCTCACCTTAGGCTGAGCCATAATTATAGTATATATGCTAATGCCATCATAAGCATGTTGGAACGTGATTCAGCCATGGTTAATTGGTTTTCTGATGTAACTAGGGCCTAGAAAGATTGTACATTAAACCATAATTGGAAAAAAGTTCTTGGTGGCCTCCTTAGGGCTAGAATTTCTCTGCACATTTAGTGCTATACTGGAGAAAATCCCTGGATTTCAGTGGCTTTACTGTATTTGCACCAGCATTTGAGAGGTGGGAATCTGGCCCAATGTGCTTACTGATTTACATTTAGGGCTGGGACTTTCAGAGGAGCAGATGTCTCATTAACTGTTTGTAGGAACTTTTTTCTTTTGAATCACTCGAGTATTTTTGGAAATCTCAGTCTAATATTATTTTAGCAGCTGCCAGTTTGTTATTTACAGGCTTGTAGGCATTACTGTAAGTATAAGTGGGTCTCATTGCACAGGGTTGGAATGAAGTTTCAGTTCCAAGTCCTAAAGTGAGAACTTTAATACCTAAGAGAGCTAGATCCTGTTGTCTTCACAACCCAAATTCTTATCGGCTCCTCAGGAAGCTTTGGAGTGAGCAAGGCATTTAGGGCTGGGCCTTTATATTACAAGGATGAGGCTGTTTTGCATCCTAAGGTCAATTCTGTACCACTGGGCACCAGCGTGTGAATTTTGGATAGATAACTTATGACCTGGTCCTGAAGCCCTTACTGAAGTTGCCCCTGTACTCCCACAGACACTGGTATTATGTCTATATAAGGAACAAGATTTCTGAGCCTTTACTGGGAGGATGTCCAACTTCATTGGTTTTGGGCTGAATGAAGCAGTGGCCAAGAGTAGTTTTTAGACGGAGAAAGATATTTTAAACTAGGCACATCTACATGAGATGCTTCATGTGCAGTAGACTAATTCTACTGAGCATTAGCATGTCATAGCAAAATCTGTGCTGATGCACAGCAGAATTGGCCATAAAAAGATGTATGCCTTTGCTACTGCACATTTATGTAGTACCTCATATTAGAGGTACTAAACTTAATGCGCCATGGCAAAGGCACATTAATGCACGTGCAGATGTGCCCACTGAGTAGGTGAGTGAAAACTCTTTAAGTGCAACCTGTCTGTAACCTCTGCCTTCTAGAGTCTGTACATTTTGGTAAATATGGTAACCTGACCATACCTTGGGTGCTGAAGACATTAATAGGCAGACATATGATTTACTTGTTTGCTTACCCTTCTTTTCATGCTGAATCTGCTTTATTGGGGTTTTTTTCCTTTACACAGCTGCTGCAGTATCTCGGAAGAAGAAACGAAGGATGGGAACCTATAGCCTGGTTCCCAAGAAAAAGACCAAAGTGTTAAAACAGAGAACGGTGATTGAGATGTTTAAGAGCATAACTCATTCCTCTGCAGGTGCTAAGGTGAGGGATGAACTAATAAACCCTTTCCAAGCTTCTTCTTTCACTTTGTCAGTAGTTTGCATTATTCTGGGGGATTCTTAAGGGGGAAATGCTTTTTTTTGCCTTAGAGTCTTCAGGAGAGCCATCCCAAGTGTTAGTATTTGAGGCTACAAAGCAAAATGGCAGACATCTCTAAAAGCCAAGGGTGGCATTCACAGCAGCCCAGGAATTAGAAATTTTGCCTTTGGGTGCCATTAGCTAAACAGTGAGCGCTTCGGAAATCCTGCTTTTTTTGTTTTGTTCCTTTGGGAGAAACCCTCCCAACAAACTCAGTATTATTAAGTAGATTTGGCTTTTTGATTGAGTATAAAAGTAGATACTTTCATTGAACTAGTTACTCTTCACTCATGGTTATTACTGGTAAGCACCAGGGCTAACTGGGAGCCCAGTCAGTAATGCTCTGTACTGTCATGTTGAAGCCAGCGTGAGGAATTTTGGCCTCTCATTCTTCAGGCTGGCCAGGTTAGATCATACGTGGCAGTCCTGCAGGCTAAGTTCATTGCAGCATCATAGGCTCTGATGGGAAATACCTCCAGCTGTCTCCAGGAGTAGACTTAAAAGGTGTCTGGGTACAAAGAGGGATAAGGTCATTTGAGGTTAGATTTACTTGTTTGGTAAAATGAGTTGATGCTGCTGCCTTTATGGTTTACTTTTTTGTGTGTGTTTCAGAGTGAAAAGGACCTAAGTGATGGCAGCCCTCATGTGAATGGGGAGAGCATTGAGGTAGACTCTGAAGAGGAAGACTCTGATGAACTGGAAGAAGATGATGAACATGGAGTTGAACAGCCAGCTGCATTTCCCACAGAGGATAACAGGATTTCTAAAGAGGGTGCATCAGATGCCGACAATTCCAGAAAGGTATTTGCATGCCATCAAGTGACAATAAAAGAGCCAGAGGGAAGATTTTTATGTATGGGGATAGGGCAGGGAAAATAGAGATGAGTAAAAATGCTTTCAAGAGGGGATGAGCCTTCTTGGGTTTATCACTTTAGATGCCACCTGCTGCTGCTGCTGCTTGCTTGCAGTAAGAATTTTGAAATTAGAAGCATTGTCCTACTGTGGTGTCCTCACTCCAAATAGTGGCCAAAACCAGTTGCTTTGTGGGTTGGTGCAAGCACCTTCTTCCTAACCTCCTTCATTTGTAGGCTTATTTATGCCCTGAAGCTTAAGGGTTTCTCTTAAAAGCAATTAAAAAATCCCAAATGAGCCATTCATTCTCTATAACCCCTCTAAAGTTGCTGGAACACCATGGACTGTAGGCAAACAGGTGGCATAGGTATGAAGTAGACCTGGTTTCTCAGTGATTGCTAAGGCTTTAACTCTCACATAGAGGTAGAAAGGTTTTCTGTATGGCAGACCATTTGCCCCTCAATCTGTTCCAGTGGGGATGTGCAAGTCAGTGTGTTAGTTCTGTCTTTGGGAAGCAAGTTCTGTTTACACTCTGGTTGGAGCATGGAGTAATTGCTTGATGTGTTGCACGGAAATGACCAACACCTTATGAAGTCTGGGAAGCCAGTTTTATTTGAAATACTTGCCATGCTTGATTCTTTTCTTGGGTGAACATTGACTACAGATGGAAGATGGTGAGTCTGAGGAGGATCAAGAGTCTGGAGAATCTGGGGAGGAGGAGGAAGATGGAGATGAGTCTGACTTGGTAAGCCAAGCAGCAAGATGCACCTTTGCTCTGGTGGCAGTGCATTTCCTTTCACAATCTGCCTGAGAGAGAGAAGCACCATGGTTTCCTGTCTGTTTGACAAACTCATGCTATGAAACAAAACTGAACCACCTACACAGAGACCAGTTTTCCATAGGTGCTTTAACCATAATCTGTGATGAAACTAATTGCCTTCTAATGCTAATTAATGAGGTTTTGTTTGTTTTCTGTTTTCAACAAGGTGTCAAATCCTTTCTGTTTAATGTTAATGTTAGTGGGAGCATTTGCTGCTTCTTCTCAGGTTCTTCAAATACAGAGTCAGCAGGCGTTGAGACTGTAACACTTTTAATAAGCTGAAAGTGAGCCTGCCTTTTCAGGCACAGTTGGAATTGCTCACCAATCCACTGACCCAGCCAGTGTTAAATTCACATTACTTAGCATTCTACCTCACTGTGCCATGAGAGGCTCGCTATCTCATCACAAGAGAGGTTTATAGATTTAAAAACGATAGAGATGCAGCCTGGGGAAGCTGAAGTGTTTTTCAGAAGCTGAGGACTCCTGTTTTTTTTTCCTGAAAATCAAGCCCTTTTAAGATCTCTCTGGTTGAGGTCCCCAAAAATGAAAGCATCTAAAATCATTAATCACTGATGGAAAAAAATATTAGTCTAATTTTTTTCTTACTCTTTCTACATTTGGTTTTCTTGGTTTCATTTGAAGGCAAAACAGATTGATCAAACTGATCTGTGATGGCCTGTAGAATTTGGGAGCTGGCTGTCTGAGAGATGGCTGTTCCACCCAAACAGCTATCAGCACAGAAGCAGCAGCAGGCACTCTAGAGCTGCAGACAGTCCTTGTATTTGAGCAGCTGGAGCACAGTATTGGCAGCAAAGAGCTTTTGACTCTAGCTGATTCCTGTTATTGGTCAGCTGATGTCTGAATCTGCCCCAGAGAGCAAAAGTTCAGCGCCAGGTTTTGCTTGAACGGCTTCAGTGCTATGGTAGAGACTGGCACTAAGTATTTTGGAGAGGATGCTGAGGAAGATAGAAGCTGATTGGCTCCTGTTCAAGACTTTTAATTAATTTCAGTGAGAATGGGATTGGTCTTCAGTAGACTGTTGATTTTAAGTTTGAACATGTCCTTAGACCAGAAATGGCTGAACTTGCTAACCCTGCAAACTAAAATCTGTGACTCTCAGCCATGTCCAGGTCACAAAACTTCTGAGATGTGCAAGTTCCAGAGTCTATGATTTGCACGCTGAACCCATCTTAAATCATAATTTGTTGTTAAATGACTGATTACTAAATCGCCAGCAAGAACAGAAGAAAATGAAAGAAGAACTGTATTTATTTAACTTCCTTGCTCTTCATGAACCACATTTAAACTGCCCAGGAATGTCATGCAGTTTGTTATCCCTGGCCACCCTGATTTAGATTAGGGATTACACCCTGGCCACCCCTGATTTTAGATTAAGGTTTTCAAGGCTACCAAAAGAATCTGGAAACCCAGCTCTTGGTGGTAATGGTAGCTTTGAAAACCTAGTGTGGAGTTTGGTGGATACACACATTTTGTGCATAAAATAAATCATTCTGGATTTTGTAGATGTCACTGAAGAGACTGGCCCCCAGAGTGCCAGATGCTCTGCCTGTAATGAATGTGATTAGGCTGTGTGCACAGCCAATACTTTGCATCTTCTTCAAGGGCTGGCCTGATACTGTGGAATGAAGTCCCCTGAGAACTGTCACAGAGCTCACCACCTTCTACTCCAAGTGCAAGGCATTATTCTTTGACCTTGCTTTCTCTAAAATAATTATATAGCAACATATTTATTTATAAAAAAGAAAAGCAACAAGCCCCACTAAAAACATGACACTCTACTGCAGATGTTTATCCTGCTGGGGAGAGGACGAGCAAATAGACACGTGACTGATTTTAGTCACCTTATTCTTGACTCTGCCAGAAGGATCTCGGAGACTGTGTTGTGGGTGTGGCATAAGAACCTATGTAAAATAGAAAGTGAAGCCTGTGCTGTGAAAATGACAGGAAATGGGCCCACGTGTGTCTTTCTTTTACTAAGCTGTGGAGACTTCTTTGCATCAGTTTTGGTTTCAAGCCCTGAGTCTTGGGTATAAAGGCTCCTTCACACGACTGTGGTAGTGGGCTTTAAATGGCGTCAAATGACTGTCAAGCCACTGATACCAACATGGTTTGTGCACAAACGGCCTTTCTGGTTATTCAGAGCTCCGAGTCCAGTCTCAAGAAGAAGCTGCTAAAGAGGAAAGGAAAGACGGACAGTCCATGGCTGAAACCCACCCGGAAAAGGAGGAGGAGGAATAAAAAGAAACAAGCCAGTGCGTTAGGTAATCAATTTAATTTTTCTGATATCTATGCAGAACTGATAATGATAGTCAGTTTAATCATTGTCTCTGTTCCCATTGTCTTGAACACTTGTGAAGGGAAGGGAACATGTTGAGGTAGAAGTTGTCTTTCATGAAAAACCATTGCAAGTTAAAGGTTGTTCCTTTGTCTGTGAACTTGCCATGGTAATGTGCACTGGCATTGCCATCTATTACTTGCCACTGAAGAGGGTCCGTTTAGGACCAGGTTATGCTGGACTTTTGGCCAGGTTCAGAAAGTTTGTTCCTACTGTGTTTTACGTATTGTTCCATTTTCAGTGTAGATAGAACATTAACTTTACCATAAGCTACCCACAAAGCTTGGAACTGTTTTGAGATTTTTGGAATCTTTTGGGGGCCAAATTGGACCATGGTGAAACTGGCTTTCTTGACATGGCTGCTTTTGTGGATAGACCTTTAAAGTAAGCCTTCTGAGCCTCAGAACCCTGATGGTTGTCTGGAAACACGTGAGATAATTTCTTCCTTTTCAAAGAAGCCATCAGATTTTTCCATAGGCAATATGGCAGACCTGGGAATAGCGTGTAGTCTTCTTTTTCCTCCATCACAGAGAAACAGGCAATTGCATGGGCTTTGGGTAGAAGAAGATGGGTTCAGGTTGGCTGTTGCTCCTTCTTTGAAAGCCTCCCACCAGCATTTGTAGAGCTGTTCTTTTAAATGCCTTCCCAATCCCTAATCATATTGTTGAGAAGAGGGTGGCTCCTCTCTAATAAAAAAGAAGTGCCAACCCCCACCCCCCCCCCATGAACTCCTACTACTTGTGGGGTGAAGGGCAAGGAGACTTGGCTTGCTTTCAGAAGGAAAATGGGGATGCTTTGTTGTTTCTGACTAAATGCTAATCTGGGGGTGTGGGACTTGTGGGTTGTCCGTGTCTGTTCTTGAGTGATCCTTGTCATTTAGAAACATTGCAGTTTTGGAGTAGTGTCCTCTTGATACTTCCACAGAGAGGGCAGAATTCAGGGTATCTTCATGGCTTGACCTAAACTTTGCAACATATTAAAGACCCTAGCCTGTCCTGCAGAGTAGAGAGATTTTGAGGGGAGGGTGGAAGTGATCAGATTACTCCCCTGCAGGAGGACTAGTAGTGACAGTAAAAGATGGTGACAGTCTCCCATAGTGGAGCCTCTCAGTCAGCCAAGTTATTAAAAGTTCACACTACTTTGCTAATCAATCAGATTTTCCCATTGGGTTTAGGTCTTCTTTCTGCAAACAGACTGAATTTATCAGCCCATTTGTAACTGTCCCAACACTAGTGAACGCATCAATCCATGGGCTGATTGCTGGTGTGTTAGCTCCTGGTATTTCTGGTGTTTGGATAACTGAAGCTTTACTTATGGGCAGAGAGCTAATATTTCATTTCAGACCCAGATCGCTTTTCAGGCCAGCAAATACAGAGACTGCTGTAAAAAAAAAAAAAAAAAAAAAAAAGACCAACAAATGTGTTTGCTAGGTATTTGGGCAAACAAAAGGCCGTTGACACTAACCTTAGTGGGAGGAGCACGCAAAGGAGGAGTATAAAGATGGATAAATCTGTAGAGTCAGAATGAACTAAAAGATTCACAGACATTCTCTCCATCTCTTCAGAAGCAGTCTTGCTCATTTAAAGGCAGGACCTAGCTTCTGACACTTCCCCACCCCCCATTAACTTGAATGTCGTCTGTCCCATTCCCTTCCACAGTGCTTTTATTGCATGTTATTGGTTAGCGTGCACTGCCTGGCTGGAGTGTACCTAGGGCCTTTCACAGCAGGTTGGAGACGGAGAACGTGGAGTAAGACAGGGCAAGCTAGGTTTCCATCCCTTTCTCATGCCATTTATGCTTCTGCTGCTGATGCAGTACAGCAGCAGACAGATGTGCGTTTGAAAGGCAGGACTTATTTGTGTCTCATATTCTTTTTCGTTACCTAAGTGGAAAATCTGGCTGATCATACAGAGCAGGAAATAGGAGATAAGAGATCAATTGCACCCTACGTGCCCAGATGTTACATTTTCATTATTCTTTGTGCATCTGTATTTATAGACTCTCTCCTAGGAGCCTGCATACTGCATGCTTGTGATAAATGTGGCCTTTACATACACACAATTTTTTTGCTATGTAAATATATGTATATTTTAATTTAGGTGCTGAAGCATATAAACCACCTTTGGGAGGCAGAGAGGGAGCTGGGCAGGAGAATAGTATGGAATACATGGAAGTGTCTCTTGATTCTTTGGATCTCCGAGTAAAGGGAATTCTATCTTCACAATCGGAAGGTGAGTGTCAGCTTTCTAAATATGGCCATGTACCATTTTGGTTCTTTGTTTCCTTGGTCTTATCCTCTGTATTAAGATGATGCCCCCTGGTGGCTACTAATAAGAGAATTTGAAGCTGTTTCAACTCATAATGTAGCAGATCACACAGAGCACAGGGGCATAGGTGATGGCACTGTTGTCCTCAGGGGACTAAAAGGGTGCACTTTGGGGTTCATGGGAGGGAACCCCATTTACATTTGGCTCCTGTATTTTGGTGAATGTTAAACTTGCAATGCACCTGGCTTAGGATGCAATTTTCTATTCAGTGTTTTTTGGCTAGGTTTTTTTTTTTTCCTTCCTAGATCTTCCTGGCAGTCTACCCAATTGTACAGCTTTTTTTCTCCTTTAGCTAGCTCTTATTTAACCAAGAACAAACAAGAAAAAAAAAGACATGGGATTTTACTGTTGTAGACCCAACACTGTAGAATGACACTGTTGCATGATGCAGTGCTTTGGTTTGTTTCTGTAAGTACTTCCTCAGAAGCATAGGTTCTTTTTTCACAGAATGGCAGAGCCCCTCGGGAGTCAGGGCCACTGGTGTGCAGGAGATGCGTGTAAGAGGATGTAAGTACAGGGCCATCTCCTTGTTGGTTCCAGAGAGACTTTCTTTAATAAGAAGGCTGCTGTTCCCAGTGCTGAATTTGTCTTGGGTCCAGTGCTTCATTGTGAACTTGACTCTCCCCCACACTGTGCTTTCACTTTCAAAGTTTGTCTTCATTTTTTGATAATGGTGCCACACAAAATTGGTAGGAGTATCCACCACTAAGGGATAGGCAATTTTTTTCTTGTCCCCTGGCCCCCTCTTTTCTCCACATGCTGGTGATATGCCATAGAAACAACAGCTTGGAAAGAGAGAAAAAAAGCTTTTTTTTACTTTGTGCTCCTAGAAAGAACTCATTTTATTACAGCCTTTGTAGATTTACTCATAAGCCTGCAAGGGCCTTCATTCCACTTATATAATTTGAACTATAACATCCCATCTTTGGGTCACTCTTACACCTGGTTGGTTATGGCAAATATAAACTTTATCTTTGAATTGTGGTATTGCTTGAAACTGAAAGCCCATCGTTTACAAGGTGAAAATGTGTTGTTTTTAACTCATTGTGCATTATCCACAGAGAAGAACATTAACTTCACATTGACAGCCATAGGGGAATCTCTACCAGAAACTGATTGATCTATATTGATGTTTTAAATTTTGCAAACAATGGCCAGAACCAAATTACTTCCCTTTTGAAGCCTTTAATGACAGTAGCACAGTTGCACCTCATTGAAACCTAAACCCTTACTGGTCTTGGCTTTGAGGAGCAAGCTAGGTTTGAATGCTCCAAGTGTGAATATATAGGAGCTTTAGAAAATGTATATGAGTTTCTGTAACTCAAAAACTTGTAAGGAAAGCTGTTCAGATTGAATGAAAAACATTTTCGCTTTCTTAGTAAAAACAAATTATGCCAAGGAGTATTTTTTCAACCATGTAATAATTTTCATTGCAAGCCTCTTTTTGAAGAGATGTTTTCTTCACCCATGTTGCTATAAAAATGCTTCAGACTTTGGACTGCAGTTGTTATCCTCCAAATTCTGGGATATTTAGGGTAGCATATGGTGGTCAGGACTCCTGGGTCTATTCTCAGCCTCTGTTACAACCACGTTGTATAACCCTGGGCAATATATCCATGCGGGATAAGATAAGATTTTTTTTTTCTGTTTGAATGAAAGATTTTCAATGGCAATAAATGTAGACCAATGCTGAGCTCCTTTGAAAAATCTCACCCTAAGTTCTTTGGCTTCCCCTGTCTATCAGACAGGGATAAGTCCAATGACATACCTTTATTTCAAGGTATAATAAGTGATGGTAAAGCATTTGAAAACCTTGCATGCAAAGTGCCACAGAAGGACAGAGCTGTCATTAACAGTTTGTGTCCTTTCCATCCACACAGACATTCCCAGAATGTAACTACAGTGCTGATCAATTTGTCTTTTGTGCTCTAGGTCTTTCTAATGGCCCTGAAGCAATGGAAGTAGATGGTCTTCAGGAAGTGCCTCTCTGTAGCTGTCGAATGGAAACACCTAAAAGCCGAGAGATTACCACACTAGCCAACAATCAATGCATGGCAACTGAGAGTGTGGACAATGAGGTAGGAGCCCTTCTTAAAGACCTTGCTCCTCTGGATGGGCACCCCTCTGTGTTTCCTAGGTTGACAACTCTTCCTTCTCTTTTTGCGGGGGGAGAAGATTTATAACTGCAACCTGGCTTATAGCAGATTTTTGCTCTTGACTTGGACTGCAGGAATCTGGGAAGGTCTGTAGTGAACTTGTAAGCACACCAGTTCTCAGTCCTGTGGCATTTCCCGTAGACAGGAACACAGACTGGTCCAGGCAGGTAGGGGCTGGAAGTGATGACCACAGAGAAAGCTGCCCAGCTCCTTAGTACAAAGGTATTAGGCAGACAGACTGGTTGTCAGTTGTTTGAAAACCATCTGCCTTTCTTCTCTGCTCCTTCTTTGTGCCTTAAGTTCTCCAGACAGGTGGCTCAGCTGCAGGAGTATGCATCCCAGCTGCGCAGAGGTACAACTGGACTCTTTCTTCTTAGAGCATTTAATTTCTTGGTGATGGAGGGATGAAGAGGGGACAGAGAGAGGGGAAAAAAAGACAGAAAAAGTGCAAATGTAGTGAAAGAGTTAAAAATGGAAGAGGGATAAACTAGAGGTGAGAAAAAAAGAGGGAGAGGAAAATGGTGAAGTAGATTAGCATAGCAGAAGAAAGTACAGTTCAGGAATTCTCTCTTGGGTCTCACAGAGGCTCCACCATGGGAAGTGTACTCCATCCGTCCACTGCTTTGTGTGAGCAGCACGTCATCTCCATTTTCTCAGCTGAGAGCTCCAGTTTTCCTTATCCATTGCATGCCATATTTAAGGAGGAGATGAACTACTACACACCAGGCCACTTCAGCCCTAGGGGGTGGCACTTATTTGGAGAGTGAATGGAAGAAGCCTGGCAGGTGGTTTTATGTACTTCTTATAGGCTGTGCTGCTGAGTTGGCTTGTTAAAACAAATATGTTTGGAGCCACGCGGAATAAAATATTATGGCATGTGTCAAATTGGGAGAATCCAAGCAAAGGGAACATTGGAGCTAGCTTCCCTTGATTACCTGAGCATTGACACAGTCTTTTCCACAGCCAGTTCCCGAGAGATTCTTTTTTGAAACTGTGCTTGCTGCTTATCAGTTTTTTCTTGTACAAGTCCCCACTACATTAAGTTTCTGCTACAAGGCTTCTACTATCGCTGAATCCCTGTGCTGCCTCCAGGTTCATCTGACAGAAAATTGCTGCACTTAGGACTTTCAGTTCACTACAGCTGGGCTAGCTGGGTTCTAATGGCTGCCAGTAGCCTGGAAGTAAGTGGCAGATTGATTCCCTCCTGGGGCTTGGAAGGTACCACTTCAGGCAAGAAAACAACTCTGTTCAGTCTCTTTTATGCCAGAGGGCACTCATTTCTTTCAAGCTTCAGTTGGGCTGCAATCACTGTTGTATAGGTTTGTAGCTCTGTAGTTCAGGGATGCTCAACCTCTGGTCCATGGGCTAAATCTGGCCCACAGCCATGACATCCAGTCTGCATAAATCCCTACAGGTTGGAACAAATTGGCAGCTGGGGAGTAGGGGAAGCTCCATGCAGTTGGATCCACTGCCCAGGCCACTGTGGCATAGCAGGATTAGGGCTGGGCCAACTGCTCGCATGTCCAGATCAGGCCATAGTGCTCCGCACCCCCTCCACACATCTGGATAGGGGCTGCTTCACTCTTGTGCTCCAACCTCGGGTATCCAGATTAGGTCTGGGCTGCTGCCCTCCCCCTCAGCATCCAGACTGGAGCTGCTCTGTCCAGCCTCCCCAGCCTTCCTGAGCATTTGGATCAAGGCCAAGCTGCTCCCCCATGGTGTGTCTGAATTGGGATTGGTCCTGCCTCCAGTCAGTGCATCTGGATCAAAGCCAAGCCACTTCCCCCCCACTCTCCCTGTTGGGGATCAGGATGGCTGCTCTCTTCCCCCACGTGCTTGTGGATGGATCAGGGTTGAGCTGCACATCTCTCTCCCATCCACTCACCCAGTCCTGTGGTTGGATGGAGCCCCCTCGCCAGCCCCATGTGTTTGAGCCTACCAGCTGGATGCAGCCTGCAGTTGGACCTGACACTGCCCATCCAGCCCATGGGGTGAAGAGGTTGGGCCCTACTGCTCTAGTTCTTTGGGTTCTGGAAAGGACTGAGAGAAGGAAGCAAAGGGAGTGGAAAAAAGAATAATTAATGGCCTTTCACAGACTCTCTCCACTTCACTGGCTTGCATCTGGGTGTGCCCCACAGAAAAGAAATTTCTGAAGGAGAACAAGAGCTAGCCATTAGGGGAGAACTTTCTTAGAGCCTTGATGAGCAAAGGCCTGGAATCCTATTGTTCAGGGTCCCTAAATGATGAGATGAGTATGCTAACAAAATCTTTTTCTGTTGAATAGTTTTGTAGGAGTACTCTTTCCCCATAAAAATTAGAAGGGAAAAATGATGACTGACTTTATGTTAAGATTTCGTTTTAAAAAGGGTTAATAAGTAGTTAGGAGATATTAGAAACATGTTGCAGATGTGATTAGCAAGTATTATGGATGGCTATCATATCACTGGATGGTGTTACAAGTAACCTGTTAATGTTATTTATTTATTAGCAGTATAGATGCCATTAATTTATTAGCTCTTTAAAAGTGGACTGTAAATGGAACCTTAATATTAAGTGTAATCAAAATAACCCAGAAACTCCTTAATACAGACAGGCCAACCAGTTACATGCGTGATCAAATCTGTTGCATTTATAAGTGTAATTTTTACTTAACGGCCAGTCCTGCAGAGCTGCTGTGGGATCTGAGCATGGTAATCTAGTCTGTTTCTAGCCTACACATCCTCACCAGAAATACACTGTGCAGTCAGAATTTGGGTGACACTCTAGTTTGTGATTCTTTGAGTCATATGTGGCCCAAAGAAACAACAGCCAGCTCCTTCTCCCATAGCTATATTGACCATGAAGGACAAATAGAATTAAAAGCAATGCAGCCAAAATTTTTATTACAAAAGAAAGTGCATCTTGTCTGGGGATGCACACAGAAAGCAAATCCGTTCAGTGAAAGGGTGCCAGAGCAGCAGTATAGGCTGTCAGATCCATGATCTTCAGATGCTTTGGATTTTATAGGGAGTGTTTTTTTTTTTTTCAGTTTTTTTTATGTGAGTGAGGAGGGAGGATTTAATAAGGGCCTGGGAGTTTTGGAAAGCAGAATAATGTTACAAGGTTGAGAATGCAAAGGGAGAAACACTTGCTTGTCTAGCAAAGCAAGCAGTGTGGGAGGGGAAAGGTGAATCTGAATTATAGATAATTATGACAATTGGTCAACAGTTGGAGGTGGTAGGAAGGAACCTAAGAATTCATTTAACCCTAACCAGTAGGTTAACTGCTGCTAGAAAGTCATATTTTCTTTAAAGAACTCAGCACCTAGTCTCTGTCCAGTGTACTAAGTGCTTGTAAGAATTCAGCCGTGCGTTTGCATGGTTTGTCAAGGTCCACTGCTGGAACAAGTGCAAACCGTAACAAAAGTGGCAATCCAGTGCAATTATTTTCCCTTCATCTTGCTACGATTTATTTACTTTCAAATGGTAATAAGCAATAGCACACAAGGTCTTGTCTCAGTCAGTGGCACCCTCTGTTCCTGGCAAAATAAGAGTGTGTGCATTGACTCAAACCCAAGGGACTGCCCAGGCGGCTGTTGCTGGATGCTTGCATGTTTCCAGTTATAAAATGGCCTGACGAGGAATGAATTACTCTGGTACGCATGTATGTTAGTAAACAATGCGTCTCTTCCTGGGAGAGCAGCTTTCCTGGCTTCCTACTGCACAGCTAATGCTATCTGGCATGCATCTGAATTGCTGTTAAAAGGCCAGGTCTCATCAAGGCAATGTGCAAAATCTTCCTCAGCACAAGCAAGAGGGGGTGTTTTGGTCTCTAGTAATTGCATTTCCTTTCATTCCTCCCATGCCAGCTGGGCCGATGCACAAACAGCGTGGTGAAATATGAGCTGATGCGTCCGTCCAACAAAGTCCAGCTCTTGGTGCTGTGTGAGGACCACAGAGGGAGAATGGTGAAACACCAGTGCTGCCCTGGCTGTGGATATTTCTGCACTGCAGTAAGTCTGTTATATTAATCTGGGGATCGGGTCTCTGTTGTGGTAACCAAATAGGCTGCAGGTGGCTGATAGTGTGGTTATCCAGCTGACTTTCAGGGCCTTGCTACACATTTAAATTCATGTTGGATAGAAACCAGCTATAGAGTTGTTACACATTTTCAAGCACCAACTTTGGAGCTGGTTGGCTCTTTTTATAGCTGGAAAATCATTTTTATCCTGTGCTAATTACTCTGCAGGTGTGGCTGGTCTAAATTTATTGCATGATTCACCTGTTCATTGTGTGATAAGTACTTTGCACTTATGGCTGGGTCTGTGGTCGCTCTACATTTATTGCATGATTTGCCAGTTAACTGTGTGATAAGCATTTGCACTTACAGCCAGTCATGTGGCTGGTCTGTGTTTATTGTGCAGTTCACCAGTGAATTGTGCAATATGTGTAATGTGTAGCAAGGGTCTCAGTGATCAGGTTCATCTCTTTCCTCCCTCTCACTATTGGACAGTGCTGCTTGTAAACAGCTATAAGCTGTTTGCAGCAATAATTCTTAACCAGGGTGCTGTGAGATCTTTTTAAGAGTGTCATGCAATATTAGCACTGTTAGGTGTATGAACATGTATAGATGACTTGCAAGATGAACGCAAAGATTTCAAATAGGAATCCATAGTGTCAAAAACATTCTGACCTGTTGTGGTCTTTCTGAATTCTCAGCAATAAAAGAATTGCTCTGTTATCTCTCCATAGTCAAAAAAAATTAGGGAAAGCTAGGAGATGGCATTTTCTGAGGGGCACCTTGAGTCAAAAAGGTTGATAACTACCCCATTTACAGAGACAAAAAGGGAGCATATCCTTGACCTTCACAGATGACAAAGAATGTTGTTGACTGATCCTTGACAGCTTGCCCAGAATAGAGGCTTTGTCTTGAAATTTCCAGAGGAATGTTGGTTTTCCCCTGTTCTCATATACTGATCCCCTGCAGGGGCCCTTCACAATTTACTTTACTGAGTCAGTGAGTACTTGTGAATTGTTGAACCCTATGCGCAGTGTTTTCTTTAGACTGATTTATAGAGCAAACTTGTAAGTGCGGTGGTTGCAGCCAGACACTGGGAGTTTGCTACTGAGGCTTTATGTAGCCTTGGTCCAGTCACTTAACTTGTCTGTACTCTAATTTGCCTATTTATAAAGTTGTCATAACAGCATTTACCTGCATCACAGGGTGACTTGGAGGCTTGATTGACTAATGTTTGCAATGTCCTTTAAGATCACTTGGTGAAAGATGCTATACTAAGTCCAAAGCATTCTTATAATTGCAGTAAGTGGAACCATCATGAGTTTCATGCTGAGTTAAAGATCATTTAAAAGATAAAAATTCATGGAACTCTTAAAGGCAGACTTCAGAGGCAAAACATAGATAATTATGATTCTTGGAAGGAAGATGCATTCAGCTGAACTACCCTGCCCTTTGATATTCTTCTCACAGAGTGGCACATCCTGGTTCATAGATGCAATCCATAGGTGCTTCATACTGTGCCATCACCAATAACCATAGGCATCCAGGGGGCTTCAGGTAATACTGATGTTACAGAACAATGAATTCTGGGATCGCTCCAGTTAATCAGGAAACATTGGAAAATGTTTTAGGCCAGGGGTGTCAAACTCATCTGGCCCACTGGTTGCTGGGCCAGTGTGCAGGCCAGACTGTGACTGACTGTTTGGGCAGCACCTGTGGCACTGGTTCCAGGCCATGTACCACACGCAGCACATGCTGGCTCCAGGGCTTCCTGTGTATGTCAGGGCCGGTACAGGGTATGCACTGCATGCGGTGCCTCACCATACTGGCCCTTCATGCTGGTTTTGGCAAAGCTTGATCTGGACTGGCCTCAAAGCTAACACTTAGCTGGTGCAGGGCACTACTTGTAGCATGTCCATGCTGGACCCCTGTGCTGTGTGCAAGGTGTGCAGCACCAGGTTGAGTCTTCATATGGCATGGAGCACTTGAGGCGGGTGCTGGCACGTGGGGTTGGTCCAGCAACCCATGGGCTGGATCCGATGTCATCACGGGCCAGATACAGCCAATGGGCTCTGTTTGACACCCCTGTTTTAGAGGGAGCAAACATTTTAAGAAAGGTAACTTGATTCCTTGTTGAATGAGTCTGGCAGCTTGGTTAGTGGAGTGGTACATTGTACAGATCTAGGGGCTTGTCTAAATACAAAAGCTGAGCTCATTTTAACTAAATTGTATTAGACCCTAGTGAAGTTTTTTCAGTGTAACCACCTTGCATGGAGACCCGTAAGTCTGCACTAAACAAGCCAACGGCATACTGGGTTGTATTAATAGAAGTGTCACTTGCAAATCAAGGAAAGTAATTCTGCTCTCTTCAGCACTGCTGAGGCTCCCCACCTGGAGTACTGTGTGCAGTTTTGGGCCCCACACTGTCAGAAACATGTGGATAGATTGGGGAGTCCAACAGAGAGCGACAAAAAATTATTAGAGGCCTGGGAAACATGATTTACAAGGAAAGGCTGAAAGGACTAGGGTTATTTAATCAGGGAAGAGAAGACTGAGGGGAGGTCTGATAACAGTTATCAAATACCCGAAGGGTGGTTGTAAAGATGATGGAGATTAGACTTTTCTCAGCGACCTCAAGGTACAGCAAAAGAAATTTAGGTTGGAGATTAACAGCATCATTCTGAGTATGGCAGTGGTTAAGCACTGGAAGTTGTCAGATCTCTAGCCTTGGAAATTTTCAAGTGTAAGATGAAGCACAGTAAACAGAAGGGTGAAGTTCATTGTTGTTCTTGACCAAATGTGGGAATTTCCTCTCTGTGATTTCTCCAGGGCACTTTCATGGAATGTCAGCCTGAAAGCAGCATCTCCCATCGTTTCCATAAGAACTGTGCCTCCCATGTCAACGACATGAGCTATTGCCCACACTGTGGGGAAGATGCCTCAAAGGCAAAGGAGGTGACGATAGCTAAAGCAGACACAACTTCCACAGTGTCTCTGACCTATGAGCAGCAAAAACCAGCAGCTCTGGAGGGAAGGGCAGACACTACAACAGGAAGGTGAGTCACTGTTCATGGGAGACCTGGTACCCTGCCATGTTTTATATCTGCAACCTCACACTCTAAATACTTTGCTATGACAGGCCAAGCCACGCCAACAAATAGAAACTCGGGCCACAGCAGTGATATACTAAACTTTCACTTCCGTAAACCTGGCTTCTCGTGTCATGAGTGAAATGCATCTGGTGTCAGTCCAGTTCTCATTCTGATTTGCCTGCAACATAAAATTTCTGCATAATTCAGCCTACCTTGCAGCATGTTCAAGCAGGGTCCACTTTAGCAGGGAGGGATTGAAGTGCAGTGGCAGATGTGAGAGTGGCGGCAGCTGGGCCTAGAGTAAGAGTGGGTGATTGCATGTCAGAATTGAGGTTGGCAGTTCGGGTCACAAGGCGTGGAAGCTTTCATAGGCCCTGCCCACAACACACTTGATTAACCAATCAGAAGTTGTGCATTGGGAAAATCAAAGCCCGTGCAGGGAAAATCAAACTGTTATCTGTGGTGGAAGATCCTCCATATTGAACAGCATTCAGGAGAGAGCCTAAATCTTGACATCAGACTTCAAGAGCAGGTTAGACAGGCCCTTGGTTGAAATGATTTTTGTTGGGGAGGATCCTACCTTGAGCAGAGTACTGGACTAAATGGCCTTGTGATGTCCATTCCAGTCCTGTTTTACCATGATCCTATGATTCTTCGTTGTTTGCTGTGCTGCTCTTTCTCAGCATACTGGGTAGTACCATCTGCCCTGTTTTCCTGCAGTATTTGTTGCATGGTGCCAGTCTGAGTCTGAAGGCGAATCCCAGCTGAAGGAACCATGAAATGCATTTGTTTATTTCTCAAATTCAAGGCCATTTTGTATTTAAAATCCTTTTTCTTGCCTCATTTGGCATACGATGCACATATTCTTGTCTGTTTTTAATGGCTATGTTTGTTTGTTTCCTTTTTTTCACTTTAGTGGCACTGGAATGCGGTTGTCAGAGGAAGACAAGCCAGAGAGTTCAGCTGCTGAGGGGTTTGACATGGCTGGGTCTTCTGTTTTTGTGAAGCCTGCCACTGGCCTGACCCAGGGACCAGTTAAAGAAACCTTGGAAAGCGCCTTGATTGCCCTGGATTCAGAAAAGTAAGAACTGGTCTTGGATTCTTTTAAATGGCACCTGGTTTTGTTGCACTGGAGCAAAGCAAGATTTAGTGTACCTGAATATGAGGTCCACTTGAACATATGGTGTGTTTCTACTTAGGATGGTCATTCTGCAGGCACTGAGGATTATGGATTTTTCCAAACAGTTTCCGCTCTTAACCTTTTTACTGATCGATTTGCTAGTGGGGAGTAGTTTGTCCTCCTTACCACTAAGGGTGAACTGTCCAGGTGTTCTCATTCAAAATATTAGCACCCCAGAGGTTCTTACTCAAGCATCAGTGCCTCAGATTTAGCCCCCTATGAGCGGGTGTCCCTCTTTTGGCTTTATTTGGAATTACTTAATCCCATTTACCTCACTACCAGGCTGGGTTCATTGTTTCAAATTGAGAAATTGAAAATTTCCAAATATCTATTTTCACACAAGCACGTCACAACTGACTTTGGCTGACTGTGTACCCACAGCATCCTGCTCTTTGCAGCAATCTCACAACATTTTTTCCATTAAAAAAAGAAAAAATCAAACAACTAGAAATCAAGATTTTTTCAGTTTGCTGTACAGAGATGCATCTTCACATGGGAACTTGAGGTTTTTGCTGGAAGATGGTCCAGTTTTCAAGGGGAACCCACACAACACAATGTTTGTGCTTTCTGATGAAATCTCAGCAGATGTCAAAGTTTCTAACACCATAAATAAACATTCTGCTTGAATGTGTCGTGCACGTGTACACGCATTATCACTTTTCAGTGTTGAGTTTTCCCATTACAGGGCTGTTGTAGTTTAATGCTCCTGAGTAAGAAAGCTAACTTTCCATGTAAAATGGAATTTTGCCATCTTCCTCTATAAACATGTGGCTGTGTTTTGATTTGGGGGATTGTAGGAACTAAGGGAGGATGACACTTTTTACAGCTACTGTTTTCCATGATTAAATTGAGAATATTCATATATTTTTTTTAAAAAGGTACCAGACCAGAACAGTGCCCAATACCTGTTGTTCCCACTGATGTATATGAGGGGAAGGTTTTCAAGATGTGAACTACTTTTGTAGGCTTGTTCCTCCTATTCCCAAAATAAAATATACCTTAATGCATCAAGGTAGAAAGATATTACCAATTAGCTTCAATGCCTGGATTGTACAGTCAGATTAACAGGAAGTCAGGATGATTCATCTCTGCTGTTTTTGCTGGATGAGGGGGACATTCCATTATGCTAGATATTATAAGAAAACATGTCAAAGAGATGCTCTGCCTTGGTGAGCTTAATAATCTAAGCAAGCACAACACATCCAGGTGTAGTTGTAAAACATGATCTCCTGGCAACTTCCCAGTTAGAGATTACTGACTTGAGTGGCCAGATTTTTTTTTTCATTAGCCCTGCTGAGCCAGCACAGCTATGGGAGAATGAGCTGGATTTTGTTCCTTTTGTGTATCACCAACATAATTGTTTGCTAAAAGTCCAAATTGTTTATACATATGCCATACCAAGGAAGGCCACAGATCTTCCCAGGTACCCTTTGAAGGGCTATGGGGATGCACACATGCAGCAGAGTGCAGGATTTGGCCTGAAGAACCTTCCATTACTGGTTAAAGATCCATAAGTTAGAGAGAACTCACCTTTTGGATTTTGGCTTGTTTGCAGTGCTGCCAAGTGGGAGACACCAAACATCTTTTTAACCCATAGAATAGTGAAGAAAACATAAGCATGGAGCCCCAACCTGTTTTAAAGCCACTTTACAGAGTAGAGCTGCTTTCTTTTGCATGTTTCCAGCAAGGGTGAGCCCTAAAGACAAGAGCGTATTATATCTAGCTGCTTTGAGGGTCTGCCTTCAAGCAATTGTCTAAATACCTGTCTGCCAAAGGGGCATCTAGTGCTATCCAGGAGGACTCTGAGCACCTCCAAAACATGTTAGCTAATTCAGGTTAGCAAGCATGGCAAAGGTCTGTTCAGAAACTGAAGCACATGGAATGTTCTCACTAAAGGAAATGCTAACGAAGCCTGAAGGGTGCTTAAACTGGTGGCCACTGCCTCTAATTTGTGTGTGTGTATGCGCGCGCGTGTGCACTTGGGAATACTGCTGTCCCAAAGGCAAGTGGAAGCTGTTAGTTCAACGATGTCCTTCAGGGAAAGCAAATTCACTTTGGATGGTCCTGGACAGTCCAGAAGCACTGTATGAATAGTCACCAAGAAAATGGCTTTCGGGAATGGCAGCGAGGAAGGGTTGCATAGGGTGCTGAGAACTCTTTAATGACTACTAATAATCCCCTTTTTCCATCACAACAGACCCAAGAAGTTACGATTCCACCCAAAGCAGCTGTACTTCTCTGCCAGGCAAGGGGAACTCCAGAAGGTCCTGCTTATGTTAGGTAAGTGGATCTTTCCCAGAATGGTACTAGTTTGGCTGTCCTCCCAGCTCCTGCTATTCTGTTGCCAAAGTTCAGACTTGCATTTGAACTGGGCATGGTTTTATACAGAGTCCCACTCCTATGCCCACAGATATCCTCTGTGTCATTTTCTAGTCTGGCAAAATTTGTCTATCTGCATGTTGAGTATTCACATAAGGTGCTGACAGATGCGGGGGGCAGGGGGGAGCGCTTTACCGGAAGCAGCAGTGTGTTACTTTGACTCAGCTCCGCAGCGTCTTTATAGATCGGGTGCTTCAGTGGGGCTTTTTGGCACTTCTGGCTAAAACTGATTCAATCAACTGTTAGATAAAAGAGCCAAAAAATCCCCACTAAAGCACCCGATCTATACAGACATTGGGAAAGCCAGATGCAACTAACATGCTGTCTCTTGTGGACATGCACTTGCCTCAGTGTGGGAATGCGCAGAGTTTAAATAAAGGATCAGCTTGTTTTTTTTCCCATGCCTGCAAGCAGCCATGCTGTACAGAGGGTATTTAATTAGGATGGTAAGTGGGTTTGCAAAGAGAGGGAGATCTTCTGAGCATGAAGTGTTATTACGGGGGGAGCTCAGTAATATGCAACCAGAGGATATTTTTGAGCTACTGGTGTTGCTTTTATCACTGATCACATGAGAAGATTTGTTCTTTTATATTTTTTTCTTTTCAGGGACGTTGTCAACAATTTTTCCTACAAATCTTTTTCTTTCCTCTCCAGTACTGTGTAATATGTTCTTGCTAGTATTTCAGGCTTTTCATTGACTAAACATATTTTTGTCTTTCTGGCAAGTATTAACTTCATTGTCTGCATGTTCAACACCACTAAAATTTGCTGCACAAGTATTTATTTAACTGCAGCTTCATCCTATATAACATGTTGTTATGTCCAGGCATCTTTGCCTGGGCGCCATCCTCATCTGTCAGTTTCCGCACAGCTGTGAGAACCCTTGGCCAGATCTAAGGTGGTGGTAGTTGAAGTAGCTCCATTAACTTCAGTGCAGCCTTCTTTTTGCAGAAACAGAGACGGAGGACCGGTGATCCAAAAATTATTTGCTGATAGAATGAGATGGTGATGTGGAGTTTCTCCTTCCTCTTTCCAGCTTCTGTATTGCATTAATAGAAGCCACAATTAGATTTAAATAGCCTTCCTTTTCACTTTTGCATGTCAACAATTGCCTTTGCTGCTGTCAGGATGTGGGGAAAGTGACTGGTGTAATTTTTTAAAAAATCTGAAGAAAGGCATTCACAAAACCATTTCTCATTTAAAAGTTAGCTCATACCATGTTTGAGAAGACCCCTGTCCTTGAAATTGCCACTTGTAATACCTTTGTGATTTGTAACAATGTGGACTTTTGAGTTAAGAACTTTGTAGCAAGTGTAATAAATAAGTTAAAGGAAATTTAGATGCTGCCTCTAAAATATTCAGTTATGTCCCCTGTAAGTTTCTTTTAGTGATGGTTTCCTAGTATGCTGTCAGAAATCTTTGTATTCCAACTGGACCAAGTCTCTCTCTGTTTTTCAGTGGATGGAATTGACCCCAACTTTAAGATGGAGCATCAGAATAAAAGAACCCCTCTCCATGCAGCTGCGGAGTCTGGACACGTAGACATCTGCCACATGCTGATTCAGGTTCATCTCCTCTTATGTTCTCCAGACCAAGAAGTTTCTTTCTGTGCCTTGTTCTCCTTTCTTCAAAACTGAAAAACATTTGGGAATTTGTTTTTCGAACTCTCCTAACAACTTCTTAAAAATCAGGATTTCAGTTTCTTTTGCATTGCAGATGTCCTGCAGATGAAAGGCTTAGTCTGTTTCTGTGCTATTGTGTCTGAACTAACAAGTCCAAGAACAAAGTTTATCTTTCTGGAATAATAAGGATAGAGAGTCTTTTCTCTCTTAAATTATACAGATGATGTCCAAAAAGCAGCTGTGAATGCTACAGCAGCACAAAATATGTGACTGTTGAGCACCACATGTGCTCAACAGTTCCTTTGTGAACATGGAAGAGAGTAGCTAATGAGACTCTCTGAAGAAGAGATCAGTTTTGACCCCTCCTTTACCCAATTCATCTTTATGCAAATTAATGTTCTTTCTGTGGATGACCTGCTTGTAAATCTATATTTCCTTCCACTTCCTATACTGACCACTAATGATAATAATTGTTTTTCTATTTGGCTTGGCCACTTAACAGGCTGGTGCTAACATAGACACCTGTTCAGAAGATCAGAGAACCCCACTGATGGAAGCAGCAGAAAATAACCATCTGGAGACTGTGAAATACCTTATCAAGGCTGGAGCACTGGTAGATCCTAAGGTAGTGAGCAGTTCCTTATTTGGTTCTCCTTGAGAAGCCTTAGTGAGCCTCCCTTTCCTTTCTTGGTGGGAGGCCAAGTCTAGATGCCAGAGTCCAGTTCAGAGGAAAAGGGAGCCTCTTTCATTAGTGTATGCACATTTGTGAAGGGGCCGATGGGTAATATTATTTTTTAAAAATGATTTAATACCTAGATTTTTAGCTCTCTGGGGCAAAGCCTTTCTTTTACTATGTATGTGTGTGTGTGTACAATGTCTAGTACAGTGGGGATCTGATCCCTGTCTGAAGCCTCCAGTTGCTCCTGTAATAAAACTAATTGATAACAGTGGGTTCTGAACAGCATGAGTGCAAGGAAATGATTTCAAGGGTTTTATTTTTTCCACCTCTGTGTACTCCATTACCTCAGAACTAGGCTTTTGGGGGAACATGTCTTTTAAAAGGCCTTTAATTAGGCACCTGTAAATCCAGTGAATTGAAAGAAGGGAGAATTTAGATGTCCCAGGTATTTGACTTGCAACTGGTTGCAGGGCCTCTGCAGGGGCAAACCCAGAGGCAGTTTAAAAAATATTGCTGTCTAATTTAAACCAATACAATAAAAAGAAAATGGCTGGCTGTTTGCCCACGACCTGGTCTGGCTGTATTGTACTCTTGGAAAATATACGGATCATTTATTAGTCTCATAAATCAGATGCCATTTGGAGCTCGGGAGCCCGCCCTGCTATGAACTTGATATTGTTACAACCTGCTCCCTTTGGCACACTCTTCAAGATATTGCTAAGGAAAGGAGCAGTGGAACAGTGATGCTCTGCCCATGAAGGAGCTGGCCTGCGCCTGTGAAATTATCCTGCCGGCAAGCTCCTAGGTACCAAGTGCAGACTGGTGTTAGGTCTTTGACAGTTCCCCAGGATTCCTGTTCTGTGCTGTGGAGGAGCATGGGGGTTCCAACTACCTGGTGTCAAGAGCAAAATCCAAGTGTGGTCTTGTTTGATATGTTAAAGGCAGGGTACCAAGAGATTTTTGTGAAGGTGAAGGAGAATAAACATGAGCTAGCACAAGCAAATTAGAACTGTTAGAACCACAAGGCCATTATTGAAATGAAATAACTTTGGAAATCTAGACTGGTTTATTATTTTAATTAGCTTCTTGTAACAAATTAGTCATCTTTGAAAGGAGCAGCAATGCACTAATAAATCAGTTGGGGTGGTTTTGCTGAGAGACATAAAGATTAACTGCTGCATGCCTGCTTTTCCTCCTTGGTGGGGTAGGAGGATTATCTGACAAGATGGGGCATGGGGGAAATTGTGAATTTCACTAATTGGGTCTGTGTCTAGGTACCTTATGGGAAAAAGCTGCTGATCTTGTTAGTGTGATAGGTTAGGAGCCTAAACCTGGTTCTGTTTAAGTAAATGAGAGCTGAAATTCCCTCCTCTCTCTGGAGTGTTGAGAAGCTGTGGGTACTCCATGAGAGCCTTGGCAAAGGAGTGCTGTGCTATTGGATGCTTGTGTAAAGCATTTTAAAGAGAGAGCAGAAACATCCTCTGCCCCAGTCAGCCCTTATAGTGTTATCTCTTTTCTGAAACTTCAGGCCCCTATTTGATTTAGATCATACCATCTACTAGGCATAGATGCTGTTTATGCTCAAGACCTATGTGGGGTATGGCCTGCATCCCCTGACATGGAAGAGGTGTCTTTTGTGTTTTATGTAGAGCTCACTTGAAGACATAGCTTGGTTCTTTAGATTTTGTAATTTGCTTTCAGCCCTTTGGGGATTTCTGTGTTAAGTGTGTGTGAGGTAAGTTTATATTTATCAGACTATGGCTGATTCCTGAAGTCCCAATGACACTCAGGCCCCCAACCCTTCCATTATGTTGAACATGTATTTTAAACCTGCCAGCAACCTCTTCTCTTAGGCAAGCGTAATCTGCAGTTCTGCTCAGCCTTCCAGGCCTTTGTGTGAGACCTCATGTCTTGGGCATCCATAACCATACTGCCCTGCTATGATGTACTGGCCAGCTTTATTTGACTAGCTACTGGTGTTAAAGAAAGTAAATGCAGACAGTCTTGCATGTACGGACAAGACAGGCCAGACTCTTGAGGTAAGGCACAGTCCTCACAACATTACCAAGATGCCCGATGGGCAGAGATGCAACACCGGGGGAGACTTGGAGAATTCCAGACTCCAGCATGATGAGCAGTAGGGATGGCCCTTTGAGGGTGGAAATGCCATCAGCAGTATGGGGAAGTGGGAGCTGCTAAGTGTTGACCCTCTGCAAAGCTATCCAGGCAGGCTTGTTATCTAGGTCTCCATTCCTGTTCCTCTTTCGTCCTGCATCTGTGCTCTTCAGTGGTTGTCCTTTGGGCTTCATTTAACAGTCCTTTGTTCTCTCACTCCTGAGCAATGGCTGTGGCTATCCTCTCACTTGATAGCCACAATAGTGCAATATCAAGACTTTTTATTTGGGAAGCAATTTTCTCTGAGTTGTTCTATTTTTGTTCATTGTTCAGGATGCAGAAGGGTCCACGTGTCTGCACTTGGCTGCCAAGAAAGGGCATTATGATGTCGTTCAGTACCTTCTTTCTAACGGGCAAATGGATGTCAACTGCCAGGTAAGGCTTTTCTGGAAGAGGCACAAGTAAGATGGGTTGCTTTTCCTTAATCAGGAACTTCTTTCCTTGGGACCCAATGTGTTAATTGCAGTGTAAATACTCATGCACTCAATTTAAGGCACCATAAAATGGCAAACCAGCCATAAAATTATTCCATATGTAATGTGAGAGTTTTTTGGCTGGTTTGCGGGACACCTTAAATTGAACATGGGTCTGGGCTGACAGTTAGCCTGTTATTAGCTCAGGCTGGGAACTGCACCCAGGTCTGGAACCAGCCCCAATTTGCTCCCTGGCCTGAGCCAAAAATCAACTGGTTGTTGGCACCAGTCCCAGATGTGTGGGCACCCGGCTTTCAACTTACTAGTGTAAGGGCAAGAGAGATTATGATCCTGGGCTCCCTCTGCACTGGCAGGTAAGGTGTGCTTAGGATCTGATCCCTGATCCCAAAATCATACCTCTTGCCATGCAGGTGTGTTGCATTTAAATGAATGTCTGCCAGGGGCCTTAGAATCACAGCAGTTATGCAAATACATGCTCCTGCAGGCAGGAGGATTTAGAGGAGTAAAGATGCTTGGATAAATGGGCCACAATCCATTTGCTGTTTAAATATCATTTTGCAGCTTGTAAGGCCCGTACAGGGAGACCGTACTTCTGTCTTCCTAGCTGAAAGCTTCTAAACAGCCAGGCTATCTCATCAACAAGCTGTCTCCTGTAGTGCTTTCTGCCTTTTCTGACTGATACCTCTGTTTCACTGCTTTCTCTAGGTCCACTTCCTCTCCAGCCATGAGGCCCTTTTTCCCAAGGATCCCATAAACAAGGCGTTCATCTTCCCTTGCAGATAAATTTCACTTCCCAGCAGCAGAACTGCTGTGGGAGTTCACCTGTGGCCTAAAGTAACTTTTCTGAGAAGGGAGGATAGGCACTCAGCAGCCAAGCCATGTTAAATGGAGCATCCATCAATAAAAATTGAGACAGCACTGCATTAGATACAAGGAGAACTCTGGCTGTTAGCCTGGTCTTGGCTGCCTGATGGGTCTTCAGTCAATGTATTTGTGGTGCTGTCTTGACCTGTGAGCTCTGATGCTGCAATCTGAGCTGCACTGGCAGGCCCTTACTCCCACTAGGAGCCTCTGACCAATGTGTGGAGCTGCACAGGAATGCAAAAATCAATCCAGGTGGATAGGTTGGAAACACACTGTGCTGTACATGCAGCACAGTAGGACGCTCTTCCCAGCAACGTGCATTTAAGTGGTAGTGCGAGACAGGCCAGTGGCTTCCTTAGTGATGGGACATCTTTCATGGATGCTGCAGGGCTAGGAGAAAGTAATGTAGACACTGCCTTGCCTCTTCCGTGTGCCTCATGCTTTCCTTTTCTACTCCCCAGGATGATGGAGGCTGGACGCCGATGATTTGGGCCACCGAGTACAAGCACATTGAGCTGGTGAAGCTGTTATTAGCCAAGGGGTCGGACATTAACATTCGAGACAACGTAAGGCACTTACTGGAGTTTATTTATTTAGTAACCCTCCTTACTCCCCACAATTCACAAAGCAGATTCCAGACCCCTGGAAAATACAGTGAGGAGCTGTGGCTTTGGGAGGCAGTGCAGTATGGGGGGAAAATGGCTGGTGAGGGTTTGCTAAGAGAGCTCCCGCTTTGTTTGTACTTAGGTGAAACTGTGCAGGAGTTGGAGGGCTTTCTGCCCCATGCATTTCCTGTAACAGTATGGAAGAGTCCTGTACCTAATGTAGGCATATCTGTTGCCTTATATGTAGAAGGAAGCACTACGCTGAAAAGGTCTTGCAGGTGTGAGCCTACGTAAAGGAAGACAAATTCCAGGCTTCAGAGAGTTGCACCTTCTGTGTGCTTGGCTGTCAGAGATGCTGAGCCCCTCTGGCTTCAAGGGAAAGGCTACACAGTACCTCTAGGGATCAGGCCATGAGAGCCCAATCCTGCAAACTCTTAATCATATGAGTGATTACAAATGGGACCACTTGCCTGTGTAGGGGCTAATTCCTTGATCACACTTACTGCTAGAGAAGATACGTCATGGGTAGTAATGAGGGACATAGGAGAAAGGAGAGAGAGCATCCAGTCCTCCTTTGAGGAGAGGCATCAGCCCTACCACCACTGTTATTTTTGGCAGCATGTCTCCCATTTTCCCTCTTTCCTAAGGTCTTCTGAGTCCCATGGATGTAAGAAGCCATTTCCTGTTCATCTCCCCAGATGCTTCTTTCTGTGTCTGTCAGATGCTGGCAGGGATAGATGTTGGCACATTTACCTCATTGTGCTCAGATTGCCTCCAGCTGTTCTCTGCCTGAAAACCCTCCTCTGTTGGACCCTCCATTTATTTGGTAGCTGAAGTTATTCTCCAAACAGGTGTTGGTCTGACAACAAATGTGTGCAAGAGTCAAAGAGGGGACTTTCCAGATTGTTGCGATTTAACTTCATAGGCATAATACCAGCTCTGAACAAAATGATCCTTTGTTTGATCTGTGACAAAAGCCTCCAGCTACCAGTCTCCCCATGATCATTTATTAAACTAGTGGTAAAAATAATATTAGTCTATCCAACAATTTCTTTGCAGGGCAGCTGCTTGGGCACATATATTAGTTTGCCCACAATTCCAGCATTTGCTGGTTTGTAGTTACTTAAGAGCCAGATCCAGCCAAGCTTACTCATACTGAATAGCTTGAGAAGGACTGCTGATTTTAATGAGGCCGCTGCAGGAATAAGTTGCTATTCTGTGAGAGTAAACAGGGCAGGATTTACGTGGATGCTGGTACATTGTTTTTGTAGCCTGATAAGCAGTAGGTGCCCTGGTGTTGTTTGCTGCATCAGTCGTCTTAATCTTCAGAAAAGTGTGTGGTGTTGCCACATATTTCTACATGTCAGGGAGTTGAAGGTATGTGTGAATATCCCCCTCCGCCTGAGCATCTTTTTTTCCTAAAGGTAAATGAATTTACAGAAGATAGAAGGTAGGAGGGGTTTGCTGTCTATGAAAAACACCATGTTAAATAGTAATCATCATCATGTTATCATAATCAGCATCTTTAGTTCTTGTCATGCCAAAGAATTCCAAGGTGTGCTATAAATTACACAGTAGCAAAAATAGGTATTTTAAAGTGATGATCCTATTCAAAAAAGAATACTGTTTAGATATTTCTAGTGCTTCAGTGAGAGATGATGAGAATATACAGTAGTTAAGAGATACCTGAATTGAGACAGTTTGCTCTCTCTCTCTCTGGCCGGTGACTTGCTTTCCAGCACCTTCTTACCCCAGAGAATGTGATCTGCTTGTTCCCACTGGGCTCTTTCTCTTTTGATGCTGTAGCTTTGGGATACATGCTAGTTTTGCTACGTCTGGCTTGGATGGCTCAGCTTCTGGCCCCTGCCAGTGTTCGTTGGTGTCTGTCACCTCTCCCTGTGGATTGATTCAGATCACCCTGTGGCTTAGAGACAAATGACTCATCTGAACATGCAAGGAGAGAGTGATGCAAGAGTTTGTGTGCAGCCTCCCCATCTGCAGTAAGCGTGGAGGTGGTTGTGGTGAGAGCTCCCTGCGTGTCTCTGCCGAGAGTTCCCTGCTTGTCTGTGGTAGGGTGGTGTTCTCCAAGCTAAAATGAGAAATCCCATGAAAGGAGAAGGTAGGCCACATGTTGGAGGCCAGAAATGCAGAGCTAAGGATGGTGAAGTCCCAAAGGCACTAAGCAGCCTCTCCTGTGTTTTTCCCCTCCAGGAGGAGAATATTTGTTTGCACTGGGCAGCTTTCTCCGGCTGTGTTGACATAGCAGAAATACTGCTGGCTGCTAAGTGTGATTTACATGCAGTAAACATTCATGGAGACTCACCACTGCACATTGCAGCCAGGGAGAACCGTTATGAGTGCGTTGTGTAAGTATAGCTCCTGCCTGCTCTGCCTCCTTTGCTACTTGTTCCCTTCTCTGTTGAACTCTGAGTGGGAAGTTAAGAAATGCTTTCCTCTTTGAAAGTAAAACAAAAGGGGGATTCACCAGTGCTGTGCACCTGAGCAAGGTAGTGTGAAATGTATGGGTCTGCTGCCCACATACACTGAGGGCATGCTATGCCACTCTGGTAACATAAAAAGTTTGGAATTTGGATGCACATTTACCATGCATCCATTCTAAGGCATCTTTCAGCTGGCAGGGAATGACATCCTCATGTTCCAATGTGGTAACACTTTGCAATCACTTTGCACAGGTGTCAATGACAGCACAAGGGACATGGCAGGGGGAAACAGGCCCTTTTCTGCAGCCAGGCAATTAGAGCATGTGATAGCTCCTAGCAATGAACCCATTTGTGGAGAGCAGTGCTATACCTTTTAAAATGGTTGCAGGGAAGTCCTGATTGCATGCTACAATCCAGGTAAGAGAGGGAGAGAGCGCATATGGCATCCCTAAGGTGAAATTCACCCCAGTGCAGCCTGGGATCTGTCTCATTCTAAGCTCTGTTTATACTCTCAAAATAGGACTGAAATGGTGCATAGACCTCCTGCTGGGTCCTCTGCATTAGCATGTGGAACATCCCAGAGCAAAGCTGGTCTGTGTCTAATGCATCTTCACTAGAAATGGGCACCAACCTTATGGAGGTTTTAAATTGGTCACTGTCGTGAGTGAATTTAGTAGGTATGGCCATAAGGATTTGAGAAGTACAAATTAGAGCCCAGAATAAATCTGATTATCTGCCCTCGTCTCTACCACTCCTGAACTGTGGTTCCAATCCTGTATTTTGTGGGCCAAGAGGGTTTTATGTCCACTTGAATCTAGGTTTGTTACCAGCAAACTCCTCTTCATGGGACAGGGTGTGGGCCAAGGTCTCTGGCACATTAGCCTGCCAGTTCTAACCTACTGGCCTGCTCACTTTCTAGTTAACCACTCCAAGTATTGTTCAGCAAACCAGCGTGTACAAATGAAATTAAGGTCATTGCTTGCTTTTGTGGATTCTTCATCATAAGAATGACCTTGAGGAGCATCTCTACAATGTCTGGTGCTTCCTTTTCTAATAAGCTGTTTCTGGGATTGTATCTTTTGTTGCTGTTTTGCAGCCTTTTTCTGTCCCGTGGCTCAGATGTCACCCTGAAGAACAAGGAGGGTGAAACTCCACTCCAGTGTTCAAGTCTCAACTCTCAGGTGTGGGTGGCTCTACAGATGAACAAGACCCTCAAAGATTCATCTACTGACAAACCTGCCCAGATAGAGAAAATAGTGAGCAGGTGAGAGTCCAGTTCATTACTCCAAGACTGAGGACTGAAGCCTTGATTGCAATTCAGAGTTGGCTTTTTAAGCTTGTGCTGAAGTTGAATTGAGCTCAGGGAGAATTAAGCACATGCTGATCAGGACTGCAGTTCATGCACTTATTCACATGGAACTATCCTCAAGCAAGAAATAATTCATGAGTCCAAGTGGGAAGAAACAGATTTGGTATCAAACCAAGTACCTTTCAAGCAAAAATACTTGAAGATAAAAGGCAGGGCTTTTCTCCTTAGGATACTACTCAAGTTGCATAAGAAAGTCCTTTATTAGTTGTCACCTCATTTTCAGAAGTCTGGATATTTGTATATTAGATCATTCTGTGTCTTTTCTTTCCCTTTCTGACAGAGACATTGCCCGGGGTTATGAGCGGATTCCTATTCCATGTGTCAATTCAGTGGACAATGAGCCTTGTCCCAGCAACTACAAATACGTTTCCCAGAACTGCGTGACCTCCCCAATGAACATTGATAGAAACATCACCCATTTGCAGGTTTGATGTGCTCCAGCATATGTCTTCTCTCCTGTCCCAGTGTGGAATGTGGTTTTAGAAGTTACCTTTCCCTCAGAAATGCAAAAATCTAGAACTTGTGGTTCAGAGATGATGCCTTTTATTAGATCAACTGATAAATTGCAAAAAAAATTAACCTTTTTCTGTAAGGTTTTGGGCGCTCACACTCTTCATCAGGCTCAGGGAAAGTTAAAATGGTAAAAAAAAAGTCCCCATATGCAGGAAATAAACTTCATTTTTGCACAGAGGAAGCTGAAGCTGGAAATCTGTCCTCTGGGTCCATGGGACTGTCTTGGTGAAGTGCTCTTGGTGTGCAGATCAAGCAGGATTCCTTCCCGGTTGGTGTCAGATGGCAAGCAGGGAAGAGTAAAAATGAAGTTTATAATCCAATGTTCCCTCAGTGGTTTCAGAGGATAGTGTGTGTGCTGCTGTGAGAGTGCCTGAGAGAGAAGGTGGCATGTGTCTGGGTGGGGTCCAGTGATACAAGCAAACATCGTGGCGCCATTTGATTGCTGGCTTCTATCCCAGTGACAAACTTGTTCCCTCCACCAATATCTTTGTGACAGCAGGGCAGAAATTTCCCTGCCCTTTTCTAGGATTTGAGAGAACATTTTGTTTCATGGCCATTTTCATGCCAAGGTGAGAGGGAGCTGTGATGCTGCAGGTGCCAGTTTAGGGTTGAGAGTGAGAACCTGGTCCACTATCCTGATTAAATTCTAGCTCAGGCAGTGGAACTCTGATTCCCTCTGTTTCTTTAGCTGTTTCTTAGATGGAAGGTTCTGTTTTACTTCCCTTCCCAAAAAATATGCTGCTTTTTGTGCTGAATTTCACCCAAGAGAGTTGCATTTCACTGATGGTTGATGTGGTTCCCTTGTACCCCATACATACATCCTGTTGATGTTCGGGAACTTGACTGATTGACTGTAGGTCTTCAGATGAGCAAAACCACATTTTGCAATAGTATAATTAATATAATTGGATGTGGTGGTTTTTGTTGTGTTTCAGAATTCACATGAGGGCAGTGTGCTGAGTTATCATTAGTAGCAGCCACGTGTTCATGACCTCCTGGAACTGATTTATTGCCATTCATTGCATCTTGGAATGAAGCCATGGGCCCATAAACTCTCCAGTTGGTACAAAACATAGCAGCCGGTTTGCTTAGCAGCATAAGTTACTACAGCCGCTATGTGCCCGCTTTCCAACTGGCACCAGTGAATACTAAATCCCTACAATAGACTGGTACTGAGTAACTGGGTAATTGCCCCACCATCTGTGATCCAGACTTCCCGAGATAGTTGCACTTTACTGGAGTGGTGACCCTGCTAGCCAATGAATTGGATCATGAGTACAGGAAAGACTTTCACAGAAGCTGGAGCAATCCTGTGGACCTTACTCTCGTGAGACATCATAAGATTGGATATACAGTTTTACTCCTTGCTTTGATCTAGGTAAAATTGCATATGCCCTAAGGCTGTGCGAAACGGCACCATTCCGTTTCGACTTGCGTTTTGACATTTCCACGGAACAGCATTTTGTTTCGAGTTTCATTTTGATTCGAAACTGCTGTTCCGTTTTGTATAGTCGAAACAGTTTCACTGTTTCAACGTTTCACCCATAGGCTATAATGGGGAAGCTCAAAACAGCCTAAAACTTCGTCATTTCTGGCCCAATTTGGATGAAACTTGCAGGAATGGTAGCCCCTTCTGAGGGCATGAAGTCTGCCAAGGTTCAGGGAGGTGGGTGCAGGGGTTCCAGGGAAACTGCAGTTCAGAGTCTTGAAAGCAGAACTCACATCACGTGTACGTGTTAAGCCACAGCAGGGTCAAAACTGCAGGGGTGGTAGCCCCTGCTGAGGCAACAAAGCCTGCCAGTTTTCAAGGAGATAGGTGCAGGGGTTTGGGGGAAACTGCAGCTCAAGCTGTGGACAAGCAAAACTCGTGACATGGGTAACACCGTGTGTCAAGGAGATTGGTGCAGGGGGAGCCTGGGTTCTGGGGCCTGCACCTCTAGCTGCTGACAGGCAAAGTGTGTGTGTGTGTGTGTGTGTGTGTGTGTGTGTGTGTGTTAAGGTGCGCCGTCACTCAACTGACACCAAGGCAGAAAGCAGGGCAGTTCAAACAGTGCCTTTCATGTAGCTTTTCCATCCCTCCCCAGAGCACTGGGAGTGGAAGAAACCTCAGGAAAGGATGACAGTCATTGGTCAGCTACACAGTCAATAATGAGAGCGCTCCTTCCCCACTCTTCCCCCTCCCTCTCCTTACTTAGTTTCTGTTTCCCTGCAGGCAAGCCCAGCTTGAGCTTCGAAACTTGAAACATTTAGAAATTTTGACCAAATTTAGAAACATTTCAACTTGCCTCGTTCCTTTTCGAGGCTGTTTCGAAGCTCAGTTTCATTTCAATTTCGCTGTGTCAAGCTCGAAACGGGTCAAAACAGCGTCGAAACGAAACTGCCAGCAAAATTTCGCACAGCCCTAATATGCCTCGCCCCACTCCACAATTAGCATGCAAGTAAAAATCCTCTAAACCAATGAAGCTGATTCTCCTGGAGGGAGGGAAATTCCTGTTTTTAAATCCTGGGAAGGCACTGTGGTTCTAGGTGACTGTACTGGTGATCTGTAAATAACCAAGTCTGCAGTTTGTTTCCTATCTGGCTCTTTAAAATAAGTTACCTTTCAGTTGTGCTTGCCTGAATTTGATCTACTGTCTTTTTCTCTTCCAGTACTGTGTGTGCATAGATGACTGCTCCTCCAGTAACTGCATGTGTGGTCAACTCAGTATGCGCTGCTGGTATGATAAGGTGAGGGCTCTGCCATTGTTAGATTAGGCTGACAAGCTCTGAATTTTGCCAGATCCAGTTTGCTTCAAAATATCTGAGATTTTTCTAAACTTTATTTTGTAAGATTCGAGTCTAGGCTTCCAAATATATATATATATATATATATATATGGCAAGTCACAAAACAAACCTCAAGACATGGTCATGTCACTTGCATCCCAGTTGAGCCATTAATTAAACCTATGTGATACAGTGTTTAATAATCTATGCCCAAAATAAAGGCCCCATGACAGGAAACAGAGTGAGCTGTTTAGTCCTCGAGTGGTTCTGTAATATTATAAATGAGGGGGAGGTGGTAGTAATGCTTTTCTTGCCTTTTATTTATTGTGATTTTTCTGCCTATGGAGGCAGAAAAGATATATTTTAATTACAGCATTGCTTGATGCCTCATGTGTTTTTTGTATGTGTGCCTGAATCCTCCAGGGAGGTTTTGAGGTTAATCCCTGGGCAGGTTCTACTAAGATCAGATGTTCCCTGAATCTCTGTGGGCTTCTCCCCGGGGAACATTGGTATCTTCTCGCTCTGCTGTGTATCCATTTTAATAGTGCATTAACAGGATTTGCATTCTGAAATGGCTTCACTGAATGCGTCCTTCAAACAATTATGGCCAAATTTGTTAAATATGGTGTATTGTGCGACTGTTACTTTATTATTCCCATGCAATTAGGGGATACTTGAATGTTAACTTTTCTTTATGGGCTCCTAATGGGAAGAAATGTGGCCTACTGGATAGTGCACTGACCTTCAAACCTATTTTATTCTAGGCTCTGCTAAAGCCTTTCTGTGTTTTTCCCTCTTTTCCTAGTTGCAAAACAAGAATAATGTTGCACGCCCATTTGGCAAAGTGGTTTGAGATCTACAGGTGGCTTGTACTGCATGCATGTGAAATATTGCTTGTTTTAACAACTTTTATATAAAGGCTGCAGTTCAGAGTAGGAAGAGGTCCAGTCAGACCAGCTATGAATTCTCTCAAATTCTGGGAGAGTCAGGGGCATGAAACTGAGCTTGCTTGCTGCTCTGTCTTAAACAAGGGAAATTCAGTTCTGGATTTGCAGTTTCCATTGCCAACCTAATCTCTGATTCCAAAGCAATTTAAGGATACATAATTAATCCACTCTTTGAATGCATCTCCTCTTCAGGATGGCCGACTCCTACCCGAATTCAACATGGCTGAGCCACCTCTGATCTTTGAGTGTAATCATGCTTGCTCGTGTTGGCGAACCTGCCGGAATCGGGTGGTGCAGAATGGGCTCAGGTGAGAGGGAAGGCTTCTGGCTTGGACTGCTTATAAAAGAAAAAAAAAAGCTTCCTGAAATTCTGGGCTCAGCCTGCCTGCGAACTGACAAAGCAGAGATTTCCAAAGAGAAGGGAGAAAAGTCATGGTTGGGTTGCCATCAAAACAGAGTAAGCCTCTATTCTGCTGGTGAGAACCAAGCAACAGCAGGGTTGTGAGATCAACTGGTATGCCTGTCCTGCACCTGGCTTTGTCGCTAGGAATCGCCAGCATTGTTCAGACAACCTGATTGCGTAAAATTTGTTAGCTTCTTGGTTTTCCTTTGAGGAAAAAGCGGTACTAATTTCACTGACAACTCAACTGTAGTTAAGCTCCATAAACAAAGGAGAATAAAAATCAGAACCCCCCCACCCCGTAGTTCATTACACTGAATAAAATGTGTAAGTTAGTGGTTCATAACTGAAATGCAGGCCAAAATTTACAGACGTGGCTTCCTAAGGTTCTGTATAATTAGTCTGATTTTTATTTTAGGGCTGTTTAGCACCAGTTGAATTCAGTTCCATTTTTATTTTGGTGCAGAAGTATGGTATAAGTGCCTAACTTGAGGCTGCCCATTTGAAAATGTTGACCATCTGATTCAATTAAGGAACAGCTGCTTTGGAAGCTTATAAATGAAACTGATAGTGTTACTGGTTTCATTTTATTTGCTTTTCAAAAGTGAGAGCCTGTTATTTTACCTTGCATTTTTTATAACATTCTGGGGAAAAGAACGTCGGGAAGATGCCAAATCAGTTTGGCCAAAACTTTTCCCTGTGTTCTTCAGCAGGTCTAGTCCATGCATGAGCAGGGTTGTCATAAAGTCTTGCTGTGGAAGGTGGAATAGCTCTGATCCCCAGGAGTGAGATGGAGGGGAAAGGCCCTGTGCATCAGCTTGCAAAGTCAGATGTTTCTCAAAGCTATGTCAAAGGCCATCTTACCAGGAGTCAAGGAGGACTTGTGATTTGTCTGCCAAGTGACTGCTTAGAAATGACGCTTGGGTGCTCCTCCTTTATTCTCAATGGTTCCCTTATTGAGTTTGTTCCAAATTAACTTTACACGTCACTGCACATGTTTCTGTCTAGCAGACTTACCAGCTCAACATGGTATATGAAAAATCAAGCCATAGTCCTTCCTTCTCCTGCCCCATCCCTAACAACAGAGAGTCTGTGATCCAAGCTCAGCTGTCTATTTTGCTTGTGATGAATGAAGCAAAGCAGAATGTGGCTTCCTCAGGTCTGAAACTCGGTGAGACCAGCTTCTCTGAAACTGGTTCTGCTAATGAAACCATATGGCCTTGCTTCATGCACCTGTAGATGTCTGTAGCTATTTAAAGGATACATGGTATGAAGGAGCCAGAGGAGTTTTTTAACATAATACAATGCAAAGGGGGTATCAGAAGCAGTGATGGGTGAAGTTAAGGAAAGGGAAATAGAGGTTGAGCATTGGAATTCTTTTTCTTGTACTGATAAAAATCGGTGTGGTTGGATTTTGGCTCCTGAAGGAGATGATGAGGCCTCCCCTTTTATAGGACATCTTTAGCATAAGCTTATCTGGACCGCTCCCTTGCTGGCTAGGCAGTAATCAGGTATTCTCTTAGCCAGATGTTATGGGCTACACCAAATTCCACAAAGGGGATGGAACATCTAGTAGTTTTCCAATTACAGGCTTATATTCATACTAGGGATTTGGGTGGAAGTGAGCAGGAATTGCTAAAATTTCCAGTCCTCTGTGAATAGGGCAGGAATATCCATGTTGTGACCTAGTGTATTCTTAATATAGTCTCCAGCCTGCCTCTTTTCCTGTTGTGGCTTACTTTTGAGCTGTTGTTTGCTGACTTCAACTTTTGTCCACACAAGGAAAAAGAATCCTACTAGCTGACAGTCATGTTCCATATTCTCTGTAAATGCCCAGAGGTGTAAAGGGGGATGCTACCTTGGAGAGCATCCAGTCCCACAGCCCCCATCCTCCCAGGCACAAAGCCTAAGCCTCACAGTATGTGGCAAAGAAATTTATGTAGGATCAAGGTTGATGATAGCTGTTGCTTCCCATCTTTTCCATACCCCCCTGAGTTTTCACTTGATTTTCCTTCCTTCCACTCATATTAACAGAGGAAGCATGCAGGCCTGTGACGATCATGGTAGGAAAGGAACTGGGATCACAGTTTGCTTAATTTTGATAAACTTAGAAATTGTCTTTTGAAATGTTGGATTTTCCGATCTTAAATTTGAAATCTCTGTGTCCTTCCCTCACAAGAGCTCCCATCTTCCTGAGAAATGCCACATCTGTTGCCATTAATTGAGGACTCTGTTTCCTGTCTTTCAGGACTCGATTACAGCTTTATCGGACACAAAAGATGGGCTGGGGTGTGCGGACAACGCAAGACATTCCATTGGGAACTTTCGTGTGCGAGTAAGTCTGTCAGCTTTGATTAGTTCACATGAGCTCATCAACTCCTGAGCTGTCATGGGGCTGCATGTCGTACATCAAAGTGAGAATGCTCCCTTTTTAGTGAGGTTTGTGTTCAGTTAAAAATGGCTTCACACACAACCATTTATTCCAAATGGGAAATTTACCACTTCCACTGTCTCTTGTCTTTTGCATTTTTAAGCCTTCTGCATCCCATCCCATCCTGTTGGGGTCTTCAGTCAAGTCCATTATTCAGCTTGGTTTTATGGCCTCATTGTGTCCTCTTGGAACAGTTGTGGTGTTAAAAATTCAACTCTGGCTGCAGTTTAGCAGAATATCTAAGCATGCCTCTCAGTCCCCTGAGCTTCAATGAGATTTAAGTACACAATTGCAGCAAATCCAGAACTGAACGGGTCTTATGCGTTTACGGGCTTATGACTTGGTCACAGCCATTACTGGAGTTGGAGCACTGACTGACAGAGAGGCTGGTTTGAGCTCTGAACTCTTTCTTTAGTCACTAGAAAGGGAGGGAGGTGGAGGGAAATGGAAGGATGTGGAAAATGAAAGACTGAGGCTGGAAAATAATCCACTTAATTTGTATGGGAGATGTGTTTATACTGGAAACTTCACAGCTGGATTGGGAACAGCTGGAAGTTGTGGGCAATTGAAGGCCTGTCTGGTCTCACCATTTTTGGTCGGGCCCTTCTGTAGCCATTGTGATACAACAGACAGTTTTCTGTGTTATCAGTTCTGGTTTTGTACCAGGATGTAGGAATACGGTAAACTCATGTGACCTTAAGCACATACTTAAGTTCTAAATGAGGCCAGGGTGCTTTTCTTCACATAAAAGGAGATGTCTTTTTCTTAGTATTTTGTCACAGGTGCTCTGTGATATTGTTGGGCAGAGGCAGGGAATGAATTTAGGGTTAACTAAAATTACCAGTTTTGCTTCCTCTGCATTGCTGCCAAACCTCATTAAGAACCTCAAGAGCTTTGATGATGTTTTTATGGTTCAGGCCCAAAGCCAGGCTATGACTGGAGGGGTCTTTAAATCCATCTTCAGGCCAGGCTGTTGAATGGAGCTGATAACCATGAAAAGTTCTGTATGCCTAGATGGAGCTTGAAATCCCAGAACTAACGTAAATGCCTGGAGAGGAGCTCTCTCTAGTAAGGAAAAAGGCACTGACTTGTCAAAAATCAACCTAAAGAAATCCCCAGATTAAAAATAAAAGATAGAGTGAATTGACAACAGTTATGTGAAGAATATAATTTTAGACAGGTGAGTGCACAAAGACTGGGAAATTCTAAGTTGCAGTAGAAGAATAATAACAATGATCATGGTGGTATAATTCATGGAACTTCAGAGATGAGCACAGTAAGACACTTCATGCAACCTTATGTCTGCCCCTTTATCCTTGCAGACGTCTCATGACATCCTTTTTACAGCACATTCTTCATTACCAAACTGAGCCAAATATTAATGAACTCTGAGAAAATACATATCACCTTGAATGCACTGTGTGTCACCAGTGCAACCAGAGACCTTCCTTCAATTGTCCCTCCTTTGAGCAAGTTAACTTCTTACCTTTAACTCTCCATTTGCAAATAGTAGACTTTATTATTGGTACTTCTTGTCTGCCCCGCCTCACCTTACTGTCACCAAAGTGAAGAACCCCTATGTAGGGCTTGTCTAAACAAGGAATGAACTGGAATAGCTTTTTGTGGCATAAGCTACTTCACAGCAGTTCTTCAGGTCTGGGTAGACACTTTCTGGTCCAGAACAAAGGTGTCTTTATTCTAGAACAGTTCCTCACTTTGAATTCCTGAATAAAATTTACTTTCATACCAATGCAGCACCATACAATGACTGGTTCTAGAAAAGGTGCTGTGGACTGACTCGTTCCCCCAAAGCTGCTCCAGTAATTTTCACAGTGTAGATGAAGCCTTTCTGCACATGAGGCTGCAACAAGTTCCAACACTTGGCATTTACCATTTTCTTTTCATAGCTGAGATGAGATCTTAACCACACTCTGCTAAGTACCTTCCTGTGTTTTGTCTTTTCCTCTCCTAAATTTATCATCAGCATTGCATTTCCCAGCTTTGGAACATGTATTTATTTTTATTTAAAATGGTTAAAATATTTAAAAATTGCTTTGCGCAAAGAACCCGTGTCTCAAGGATCATTTGAAAGCAGAGTTTTTACCTCCAAATGGGAGAAGTGCCAGAGAATTCATGAAGCCCACTAGGGACAACTCCTGTTGCTATTGTTTTGTAAGTGGAACGTGCTTGGACACTATAGTGATGATTGTCAGTATAAAGTCCTGAGATGTAGATGGATGTGTATTCATTTGCCAACAGAAAGCTGTAGAGGACAGGGAGACATTGCCCCTCTTTAGCAGTGCATAATGTAGGGGCCTGATTCTGTCATTCTTTCACAAAGTCCCACTTAATTCATGTGAGTTTTCCCATTGATTTCTGACCTTGGGAAATCAGTGGGACTGCCTGCAAGAATAAGCCTGTGTGAAAATGGAGAAGAGTGGCAGGATTGGGCCCTAGAGGAATATATGCTCTAACCCACAACTTGTGTAAATGTGGGCGGGGGGTGGGGAGGTTGGTCTGTGAATTGCATATTAAATGTCCATCACTAAGCTGAGTGCTTTTCCATGCAGTATTATTTAGCTATTTTTTAACTGCCTTTTGGTTTTGGCTACCGTGAGACTGATGTAATTTCTCACCATCTCTGGCCACAATCCTCTTTTGGTCACTAATGATTTTGTGATTTCCAGTAATGCTGCAGTCTTACAGGAGCGGTTAATAAATAACAAGATGATACAGTGTGGGCAAGACCATAGAATTCCACACAGAGGACAGTGACCTAGTTTTGATATAGCAGCTTGGTGCCAGACTCTGGAGTCAGGAATTGCATCTGAATGTCCCCTCTGTTACGGAGCGTTTGGTGGCTTTCAGGGTTAATGCTTCAGCCTTTCATCCCCTGAGCCTGAGGTCAAATGGTAGCTTGGGTCACAAGGGGAAATGCATGTGGTTTGTTAATGTTTGTAAAGTGCTTGGAGGCAAAAAATACTGTTGTAACTGGTGCTTATATTACTGTGGAGGACTTTTTCCCCTTAGAGGACATTTAGTTGTACTGCAAACCCATTGCATATTTTTTAAATCATGGTAGCAGCTAGAAGTCCTGCTCATGGGTCACTGTGAAGTTATCTCCTTGTTCCCTTGTACCCAACTGTCCATCTCCAGCTGTTGTCCCTTGCCTTATACTTAGATTGCAAACTCTTTGGGGCAAAGACCATCTTTTTTTGCAAGGTGCCTGAAAAAAGATAACTGATAGAGATGAGAAATCAGGCTTGGGGCACAAGAAAACAGACAGTAGCACCAGGGGATTCTGGGCCATGATTAAGGCACCTAGATACCACTACAGTACAAATTAATAATAACTGCACAAGCATGGATGGGAAATTGACTATATCGGAAATTGGCCGGAAGCAGCTAATTATTTGGCCGATAAATGCCTGTGTGTGCATGTAGCTCCAGGGCAACATGCAGGCAGCGAGGAGCACAGCCTGGCAGCGTGGAGAGCTATCTCCAGCTGGTAAGTCTGGTGTGGTGGAAGGGGAAGGGGGAGGGAAGGGGTGTTGGAGGGGCAGGTCAATGCCCTCCGCTGTGAGGGAGGGAGTGGAGCTGGGGTAGGCGGCTTGTCTGGGGTCGGTGGGGGGAAGCAGCTCCTGCCACTGCGCACCACTCATCCAGAAGCTGCTCATCTGGTGGCTCCCGCTGCTCATCTAGGAGGGCAATGGGGGGGCACGTGCCCCCAGATCTGCGCGGGCCAGGCGGCAGCTGTGGGATGGGGCAGCTGCACCTACCTCTGCTCAGGGCGGGTGGCAGCAGTGCTGGGAAGGGGCTGTGGGGGGCTACGGCAAAATTTGAA